ATCTCATATATTTCAGTAACACCTTAGGGTAGAATCAGTATTTGGGGATATTTTATCTTTTAATATATGAGATATTTACAGATTAGCACAATTACAACTAAATTTATGGTTCAGTTTTTTTTTTTTTAAGTTTTGAATGTGTGGACTTTATGAGGCTCGAGCATGAGACCTGATGGTAGACACATCATCGCTCTTGAAGAATTATGATTATTACAGATCTGAGAACTCCTGCCTTGCAATATTCTTCTCGACCTCTTTTCCGCTTCTGCCCATTTCCTCAGTTCCTCCACTGTTACCCTCATCATTCTCTTTACTCCTATACCTCAGTAAAATCAGAGCTTTAACCTTTGCCATAACCCTGATGATGATCACAGTCAGACTGTTGTTGAATAGCAAATGCTTACCTAAGCAACCTGCTGAGAAGCCTACAGAGGTATCCCGTGGCACGTAAGGCCAGATGTGACTTTTAAAACTTGACTTTCAGAATACAACAGTTCCATCATTAATCAGGGTGATAGCATACCTTGAAATAGGTGTGATCCCGTTAGTATCCTTAATTTGGAACCAGGAGAACATCGTGAAGACTGCTTGAGCTTAATAGGATCAGCTGCTGCAATGATGGTGATGTAGGTTCCTCTGTTTGTCATCTCCAAAACCATTGCTCCACCTATGCATGTGTCTGTTAATTCTTGCTTTTCTGGTTATTAGAGTGAACAAAAGTGTTCCTTCGCTGCTCAGTGATTGAAAATGTAAATATGGGAGGGCCTAGGTCACTTGGCCTTTATCAAAAACTGCATGAATTGCTTAATTTATATTTTTGCTGGGTATGTGAAGATATGTCTTTTGCTTTTTTTTTTTTTTTCTTTTCTTATTTTACCATGGAATGAGATGTTCTGAGCATTGTAGAGTTCTTGGTCCCATTTTACAAATGAGTAAACTGAGTCTCACAGAGACTGATTTGCTCAGGGACCTCTAAACTTGTAAGTGACAGACTTGAGATCTCAACCCAGGAGTATTTAACTCCAAGGCACATAGATATTATGTCTTCGGTGTTAAAGACTATACATTAAATGTCATCAAGTTTAGTTTATGTATTATCTTGTATATTAATATAACATCAGAAATTTACTAAATTAACAGGTGTTTTTGACCTAATTTTGATAAAACTTCCAAGCCATTTGTATATTAAGAACTTGAAATATCCTGTCTCTTACAACATTTGACATTGAGCACTTTCATTGCCATTAATGTGTGTTTGTTTCTTCCGCATGTTATCTTTGATAAAGTCCATTCGCTCATGTTTTTGGTTGGTCCTCCCACTTTAGTGTGACAGGTGCAAGAGCAGGTGGAGGAGTCCTTCTGACCCTTTTGTGGCTGGAGTGGCCTTCAGGGAATGAGGCCAAGGAGAAATCTGATGCGTTCTCCTTATACTGGTTGCAGTTTTTAAATGAGCTTTGTGTGTCAGATTTCAGGAATACTTTTTTTAATCCAGTGTAATTTTTCATGCCTTGTTACCCCTTTTGTGTCACTTTTTGCCACTGGGACAGATTCAGAGCTACTTTTGTAACCAAGCTACAGAAGCATATAACATTTTCTGATTATCTGCTCTAGGGAATGTTTTGGCAACAAATCCCTTTCCTCCATTCTTAGCCATTTGGAGTGAAATAATGAGAAACATAGCTTGTTCTCAACTAAAGCAATTGCTGTTGTTAGCCCTGTACCTTTTTAGAGGTATTTGTTTTTTTTACTAACAGAAGTTAATTTCTGTATTACTGGCATTATCTAGCGGGACATAGCAGTAGTTCTTTGATCATGTAATAATGATGACTTTTTCAAGAGAGATAATGTACTCATCAGATCTCATGTCAGGTCCCCATAAAATTCCTACATTTAAAACTTCAAGGAAGTATTAGTAAGTTTAGTTGTAACTTTGCTAATCTGTAAACACTGCCTATATTTCAGTGATGCCTTAGAATAAAAATCAATATTTTCATGTATTTTAAAGTTTTGCATCCAGTGGGAATTTTATTAATATATATGATAGCCATAAAGTGTATTTCACCATGTTATCTCTTTTACCTCTTTTATTTTTGTGTAAAATCTTCAAATGACAGTAAGTCAGAATAATAGACAAAATCTTAACTAAGTTATTCCAACTACTGTGAATTTCCATTAAGACTTTGGACTTATTAGTCTAGCATCTGTATAAACGGCAGATTGACAGATTCAGTAACTGAATAGGAAGAGTCAGTACCCTTCTTTATAACTCCAGAAGTAGAATGACATTCACCCCCGTACCTGTTTGTTAGTAAGAAGATGCACTAGGATGCTAATGTTCCAATGAATCATATCAAATGAACCAACTGAGGATTCTGCAAAGCTTGATTACAGGCTCTTCTTAATTATTTGTCAGTTTGTCATGTTAATATCTTCGGTTTTGGGGGAAGTACCCCTTGAGAATGTATTAGTTCATTAAAATAGGTGTTTGGATTAAATTTCATTACTCTATATCCTGTATTCCTCTGCACATTTCCTTCATAGCAGTTACCACAGTCTAAATCACTTTTTAAAAATGGATTTATATGCTTGTTTTGCATTTCCTTCACCAGACTGTAAGGTTGAAGATAGAACTTGTTTCTTTCTTTTGCTGTTGTATCCCTGTTGCTTCAGACAGTGTCTGGCTCACATTGGCCCTCAATAAATAGTCAGTGAACAGTAATCATGAACGTTTAAAATGAATATTGATACATATCGAATACATGGACATTGATAACTGTTGGCTTCTCCATCAGCTGTTGTACTAGTGAATAAGGATATAAATATAAGACATTTTGTTTTCTCTACCCTCAGGATGTTTACATTGGAAGTAAAATAAGGAAAACGTTGTGATACATTATGGTAAGGGCAGTAAAAAGTCAGAAAACTTATTTTAATAGGATCAAGCTGGGAGAAAGTGGTACTTTACAGAAGGTCAAGTGGCAGTTTAGTTGGATGCATTTGTCCTGTTTTTATGTGAACACAGACATACAAAGACAGCCCTCCTACTACTTCTAGAGTCTATCATCTTAAAAGAGAGGCCAATTTCGGAATTAAAACAGTAAAAGCGCCAACATTTTTTGAGTGCTTGCCATGTGCCAGGCACGGTTTTAGGAACCTTGTGTTTATTATTGGAACTTAATCTCCACAACATTCAGAAAGATAGGACTATTATTATCCATACTTATGAATAAAGGAAGCGGAGATACCAAGAGGTAAAGTGTTCAGGCTAGGTACTCATGGTCAGCATTTGAAGTCCTGTTCTCATCTATGTCTTTACTGTGGTTGCCTCATCCCGTGGTTCCAGGATTGAGATCTGGTGGATTTCCAAAGGCCTGACTTTTTTGTAAAGTGAACCAGGGTGGGATGGACTGAACTTCTTCCAAACCCTATTCAGCCCCCATAATTATACATCGTGTGAAGTGTATTGGATGCAAAATGGGATTGAAATTTCAACGGAGATCTTCTGGGATGATCAAAAGACATCTGTTAAGACAGCTCTGGCTTTCTGGCTTTGCACTGGGGCTTAATGCCTTTTAATGCTTACTTCTTGATTAGGGACCCAGCCAGCTTGCAAATTCTGTGATCCCACCTCTGGAATGTTTTTGTTGTTCTTTCTGCTGCACATCTCCCTCTAGTGAACGTTTTGTTCAATACAAAATCCTCTTGACGCCAATATGTCTCATTAGCCCTGGACGGTTCAATTTATTTCTCTCAGGTGAGACGTACAAGTTATAGTAAACAATAGTCAGTTGACTTTTCAGTGGCTTTGCCTGACAGGTGTTTCATTTGTAAGTTACAAAGTGAGCAAATAAAAGTCTGATAAATGAAACAAGTAAAACGAACAGTGGAAGAGTGCATTTATTTTATTGTATTGGATCTTAAAAGCGTTCATTGAGTTGGGAGAAAGGGAAGATGCAGTTCATTCAAGGTGTAGGAAACTGCATGTGCAAGGGGATGGGGGTGAGATTATACAACACATACAAGGACGTAGCAGTAGCTGGACATCCCTAGAATGTTGAACATGTGCAGACTAAAGAGGTGGGCAGTCTTTCTTTCTTTCTCTTTCTTTCTTTCTTTCTTTCTTTCTTTCTTTCTTTCTTTCTTTCTTTCTTTCTTTCTTTCTTTCTGTCTCTCTCTCTCTCTCTCTCTCTCTCTTTCTTTCTTTCTTTCTTTCCTTTCTTTCTTTCCTTCTTTCTTCCTTTCTTTCCTTTCTTTCCTTTCTTCGCTTTCTTCGCTTTCTTCGCTTTCTTTCTCTCACTCTGTCACCTAGGCTAGAGTATAGTGGCACGATCTCAGCTCACTGCAACCTCTGCCTCCCAGCTTCAAGCGATTCTCCTGCCTCAGCCTCCCGAGTAGCTGAGACTACAGGCATGGGCCACCATGCCCAGCTAATTTTTTTTGTATTTTTGGTAGAGATGGGGTTTCACCATGTTGGTTAGAATGATCTCGAACTCTTGACCTAAAATGATCCGCCCGCTTCGGCCTCCCAAAGTGCTGGGATTACAGGTGTGAGCCACCACACCTGGCTGGCAGTGTGTATTTCTTAATAATAATAGTTTGATTTAAGCTAATGCATGCACGAAAATGAAGTGTTTATAAATGGTTTTCTAGATGAACAGTCAAGATCTTTTTATTCTGGTATTCTGTGACTTCCTTTCCTTCCCTTTAATCTAATTGCCTTTCTTTTCCTCCATTCGAGATATCACCTGGCAGTCTTTCCACCAGTGATGTGGTGGCCACTTCCTATGCTCTTTTGCGCTAAGTATTACTAAATGGCTATACTTGAATGAACTGTTCATATCTGAAGATGTTTTCATGAGAAACAAGTAAAGTGCCTATTGGGTTCTCATGTGGAATTTGAGTCTGAAGGCCAGTCTCACTGTCTCATTAGGATTTTGATTCTACGAAATAGTTCATGGTGGTTTTAAAGATCTTTCTTTTTTCTCGTGAACCCCTGTTAGCTAGGTGACGTGATGGTTGACATTGCAAGTAACATCATGTTGGCTGATGAGCGTGTCCTGTGGCTGGCGCAGAGGGAAGCTAAAGCCTGCAGTAGGATTGTGCAGTGTCTCCAGCGCATTGCGACCTACCGGCTAGCCGGTGGAGCTCATGTTTATTCAACAGTAAGTGTAACATTATCATAGACTCCTGAGGAAATAGTGCATTTCACACAGCTCTCACCCGAAAGAGATGGGTCTCTTCTCTATTATGGGGTGAATATCTTCTCTCACTGCTGATTATACAGAATTTCTTCCCTAAAACATTTTATGAGTTAATTTTGTTTTCGAGTAATGTTTTCTTGGGAACTGGAAAATACTTTCTTAATCTGTAATTTGAATGTTTATCACCATCTAATCCACTGAAACTGTTTCTGCAATAGAAAATAAGAACACTATTGTATTGCCCTGCTGGCATGTACCCATGGTCCATCTGAGCTAATACTCTGTTCTGGGCCCTGAAGGATATTTTGAGAGAATGTCTGATTGTTTGCCCAGGTTTCAATCTCAGAAGAGAACTGGGATGCCCTCCAACATTTGTGAAGCTATTGGCATTTTCAGTCAATCCCACTCTTGGGGTAATGAGTTATTAATAAATAATGATCACTCAGTTACATAGTATTAAGCATTACTTATGCTAAATTGAACTGTTGTAAATTTCTTTATATACTACTTACTTTTTCGTCCTAAAAAGGTGGTGAATACAGTAAATAATGTGATATTCCCTTTGATCTGGTCCTTGATTTTCATTTCCTAATTATTTTAGTGGGCTGACGTAGTGTAGAATATTCTACATTTCCTCCTGTGATTTTACACAGTTCAAGATTACTTATTTTCCTGTTGATTTCTGAGACCTTTTTTTGATGTTACCATGTTTTATTGCTCCCTTTGCTCAATTAAGTTTAGTTATTTTTTCTGAATAATAAATAAAATGGAGCCTCAGCATGGCTACTGTCTTTGTTTTTTATTGCTGTTTTTTTTTTTTTTTTTAATATTTTTATTTTTGGTGATGGAGTCTTGCTCTGTCACCCGGGCTGGAGGGCAGTGGTGGGATGTTGGCTCAGTGCAGCCTCTGCCTCCCATGTTCAAGCAGTTATCATGCCTCAGTCTCCCAAATAGCTGGGATTACAGGCGAGCAGCACTATGTCTGGCTAATTTTTGTATTTTTAGTAGAGACGGGGTTTCATTATGTTGGCCAGGCTGATCTTGAACTCCTGACCTCAAGCTATCCACCCGCCTCGGCCTCCCGGAAATGCTGGGATTACAGGTGTGAGCCACCGCGCCCGGCTGGGTCACTGTTTTTGTAACGTAAATCAGTGGAGTTTCCCTCTCAGATTCGTGACCTCAGTTGAGACTAGCTTGTCATATTTATGTCCACCTCGGCCATTTAGATCCATTTTAAATCTCATCCTTTAACCATCTTTATTAATCAGCTGGAAGAACTTCCCCCCCTTTCTCTGAACTGCATTAGTTTTTCTGGGAACCCAAGGGTACAATAAAGGTCATAGTAGGAATTTGCATACCATCTCAACGTGTAAACAAAGTTCCAGGAGATGATACATCTACTTATAATAAGTAAAATGATACGGCTTCACAGGTGCCTCAAAATGACAGATTTCTTTCTTTCAACCAAGGTTTCATGTGTTGGGCATGATGACTGCTGCTTGTCAGAAGGTCTGGTGGTGGTTTACATGTGTCTTTGACTAGTAAAAAATTGGAATACACATGATTAACAAATAAGTTGAATTATGACTTTTCACTATGTTTACATTGTGAGGCAAAAACTAATACAAAGATTCTTTATGCTTGAAAAGTTTGGGAACCACTAATTATTTTCTGTCACATGCATAGGACTTTCCAAATTCTACTTTATTTTTTATATTTTTAAATTTATAGATTATTATTAGATTACAATTAATAGATTGTAAGCATCGTGCACCAAAGTTTCATGCTTTAAAGAAAAAGACATCTATATGTGGTACTTAGAATGGTGCCTTGCCTGTGGGATAGGCATATACTTAATCATCCTTAAAGGAGGGAGATGCCATGTTGTCCTTAGAATTTACACTAAATCACTGAATCCTGTCACCCTGCTGGATGTGAAGGTGTGGCTCCTTGTCACTTCTCACGCCCACTCTGTCCTCCGGCGAGTGGGCCTGGTGGCTGTCTGTATCGACAGGTCGTATGTTTTGGTGGTTCCCCTTGGTTCATTCTTATTCCTGAATTCCTTTACAACTCTAGGTTAGGTGCCATATTTTTCAGATGATTTTTCCGACCTAATTTGCTTTTTTTTTTGGAGACTGAGTCTTGCTCTGCTGTCCAGGCTGGAGCGCAGTGGCACAATCTCGGCTAACTGCAAACTCTGCCTCCCAAGTTCAAGCAATTCTCTTCCCACAGCCTCCTGAGTAGCTAGAACTACAGGCATGTGTCACTACGCCCAGCTAATTTTTTGTATTTTTAGTAGAGATGGAGTTTCACCATGTTGACAAGGCTAATTTGCTTTTTAAATCTGTTCATTTCCTACTATTTAAACTAACAGATCTCTCTTCCTTTTCTGAAGAAACAGCTTTGGAGAGAGTCTGTGTAAAGCTTTTATCAGTGAAACTTAATGCAAAGAGTTAATGATCTTCCTGTAAAAGGAAAAAGTGAATATGGCCAGATGTGTCGAGTGCTTTCCCCAATCTCTAATATTTAGCTCTCATCCTTCCTGTAAGATGAGCATTTAGAGGGTCCACTGATTTCTCTAGCTGCATTTTTTTTTTCAGGATGCTTCCATTTTTAGCTTGTCGTTTCCTTCAAAGTGCTCCTTAAATTATTTTTAATTGACTTCTTAGACCTGATCTTCCGTACTTCATGACTTCTTTTCCTCTTGTTTGGTCTCCTTTTCATTTTAGGACATCCTTTTCATTCCAAGGTCTTTTTTTTTTTTTTTTTTCCTGCCAGTTACCTACACAGTGATTTTGTTTAGGAAGAACCTGGGCTTTCTGGTTTGGCTAATGCATAGTGTTTTGTGTTTGAAAAGTCTTTGAAAGTGCTTTTCCTTTGTGCTATAAATCATTCATAACTCCTGTTTGATTGACTTTTGAAGTATTCACCCAATATTGCTCTGGAAGCTTATGTCATCAAGGCTACTGGCTTCACGGGGATGACCTGTACCGTGTTCCAGAAAGTGGCAGCCTCTGATCGTACAGGACTTTCGGATTATGGGAGGCGGGATCCAGACGGAAACCTGGATAAGCAGCTGAGCTTTAAGTGCAATGTTTCAAATACATTTTCGAGTCTGGCACTAAAGGTATGTTACCTTCTGCAATCATTTAAGACTATTTACAGTTAAAGTAGAGTGCTCCGAATGTTCTGCTTTGCAAAATAACCTTATTAGAAGATTTTTTTGCAGGGAGGTAGGTATTATTGCTTTTTCTATTATTTTAAAGAAAACTTTAACCAGGAAGAACTGCATTACGACTTCCATGGGCGTAGGCGTTTTGGCCTTTGATTCCCTCTCCCTCCATAAAAATATCAAAAATTACATTTTGTAACTGCAGTGGTATAAATGCAGATATCCTATTACATATTAAAATATTTTATTCAACTTATAAGTTTATTTTTTTTCGCTCCTGATTTTAAGACAACAATATGTTTTCATGGGCCCCTAAAAGTATCATGAACCTTTGGCCCTGTGCCTGCCAAGCCTAGTGGAGAAGTCAACCCCGAGGCCAGGCGTTTAATCAGGCAAGCTGTATATCAAAAGTTTTTGGCAGAAAATACAAATATGTCATATATCTTTAAAAAAAAGTTTCATTGAAGCAAGCAAAATGAAAGCATTTTTGCTGATTTTTAAAATTGGGGGTTTAGATATATTTGACTACACCATATTGAAGCAAATAGAGGAGGCACAACTCCAGCATCCTAATGGAACTTAATTTTTTTCACTTACCTTTCTGTGAGCATGTGTAATTGTATTCTTTGGGGTTTTCAATATCACAGTACCTTATTTCTGTCTTGTCCCTGAATAATATCACAAACAATATTCCGGTCATTTTAATGGCTGCATAATAACTGATCCAACAGGTGTCAGGTGTTCCGGTTTAGTGTGAGCACTCAATAAATATTGAATGAATGAACGAATTAGTGTATTTTTCTATACTTTTTCTTGGTGACACCATTAAAGAGAGCCAATTTGCTAAATTTAGAAAATCCCAACTGCCCAAGAAAATCTCAACTAGGTCAAAATGTCTGATAATAATATATTTACTTGATACCCTATACTCAGAGGAAAATTGGCAAGATTTGCCTGTTAATATTGGTGCTAAGGGAGTATTTGATGCACTGTGCCACACTCCTTTGGACCTGCTCAGCTTTCCTTATTGTGTCTTATATTAGGAAAAACAAAACAAAACAAAAACCACAAACATACTATGAAAGCCTAGAAACAGCAACACAGAGAAGCCCATGAGAGAAAGGTGTGTTTTTTGAGGAAAACTTAAAATTGATGAACACTTCTGTCTTAGATGATCACAGTTGGTAGAAAGGGATTAAAAATGATGAAACCCTACATTGCATCAATTTCACAACGTATCCCTCTGGGTAAGGAGAGTTTCTCCTTGCTAAAGTAGAAAGCTTTAGATGGACACTCAGATTTGTCAATTTCATGCTATTCTATCCTTTTTTTTTTTTTTTTTTTTTTGAGACGGAGTCTCGCTCTGCCGCCCAGGCTGGAGTGCAGTGACCGGATCTCAGCTCACTGCAAGCTCCGCCTCCCGGGTTCACGCCATTCTCCTGCCTCAGCCTCCGAGTAGCTGGGACTACAGGCGCCCGCCACCGCGCCCGGCTAATTTTTTGTATTTTTAGTAGAGACGGGGTTTCACCGTGTTAGCCAGGATGGTCGCGATCTCCTGACCTCGTGATCCGCCCGTCTCGGCTTTTAAGATCATCCTGTAACCAGAGAGCAAGGACACATTACACTATTATTCATGCTTCATAGGTGGACACGATTAAACTGAATAAAAAAGGAACACATCCCTCATGACACAAAATTGGTTAAAAATTCTAATATTAACGGCATAAAACGTGCTTAAGCTTTAGCACTTGAACAGAAAACTCTCTTTACATTTTACATTTTATACTACGGCAATGTTTGGTTTTTCTTTGCATCCTTTTTTTTTTTTTTTTTTTTAAATCCCTTGAATATACTAACTAGAAAACCTGAACATCCAAAAACTGATTGCACTGCCTTTAAATGGGGAGCATGTGCTGCTATGTGAAGTTAAACCCATAAAGAGGCAGTCATTACTTAGCAGTAGGTGCCTCCTTGATTTGCTTCCTGCATATTTCAGAATCTCCGTCCTTCCCGCTATACTCCCTCCTCAGACTGCTTCAGACTTCCATCCAGTATTGCCCACACCATGGTAACTTCCTGGTTAGTCTCTGTCTCTAGGCTGTCCCTTAAAAATTCACCTTTCTCTCACAGATTGGTCTGCCTAGGGCTGACATTTGGCTAACATGTTTCAGTACAACAATGCCACTTAGTAAAATATTGAAATACTTCCTTACTATTTAGCAAATAGCTGAGTGCTTCCTCAGCCCTCCTGGTCCTTCTGTTGAGACCAACACCCAGAGCTCTCTTTTCACCATTTCACACCTGCAGGCCTGATGCCTGCAGAACAGGAGGCCTCTGGGAGCCTTCCCTTCTGTGCAGGCTGTTCTGATTGTCAGTGCCTGTGCCATTTCAGGTTGTTGTGAGCATTCTACCTGGATCCTCCCCAAATGGAAATTGACCTTGTACACCCCTTCCTAAATGTCTCATGTCTCTCCAGAGGCTGTTGAGTAGCTTTATCATTTGACATCTTCCCTCTCTCCCCACAGTACTTCCCACCTCTCCCTTTTATCCAGCAACAGCAAACTTTCCTTGGTTCCTCTCCCTACCACCTGGTCATTCACAAGCAGGCTTGTGCTAATTCTTCTACTCAATCCCTACTCCTCCCCTCCCTTCCCAGCTCCTTGGTGATAACACCCAGCAGAAATGTCACTCCAAGAAATTTTGCCTAATCTCATCCAGTTCTCCACTCCCACCCACCCTTGTCTCCTTTATTTTTCTTCCTCGTTTTTCCCATAATGCCTTGTTCATCTCTCATTACCTGTTGCAGGTGGGAGCCTGGGAACCAAGATGGGTTTATTGGTTGCCTGAGGGTGGGCCTAGTGCTGGAGTCATCAGTGACTTCTTACCTGGCTTCAGTTGGTCACTAGTTGGTGACAGAGTTGCCAACTTGCGTCTTACTGACAGCATCAATCAAATCTCTTCTAATTTTTTTTCTCAATGAAATGTTTCCTTTCACTGTGGTTACCGTAATTCAGATATGTTAGCATCACAAAATGGTATCTGTTTTCAGTAAACTACTTTACTTTTACTAAGGGCTTTGGAAATTAGCTGGTGTTTTGAGTTCAGCTGTATTGTAGCTAAAAAGGAGAAATAATTAGTTCTTTATACTTTACCTGATTAGAATTTAGAAATCAGTTTTTCTTTACACATCCCAGACATCTAGAGCTTCAGTCCAGCTGAAGTCTCTTGAATTTTTCAGGCTAGTCATTATGCATCTTCCTGCTTCGTGCCTTCATTTTTGCTCTTTTCCAATCCGTCCCCGCTTGGTGAAATTCCTGCTACTCTCCCTCTAAAACTGCCTTTGGATTCTTCCTTCTCTTCTTCAGACAGAATTAACCATTGCCTGTTAATGCCATTGTGCTATGTTCATTCTTCAGAATAATTATACGGTGATACAGTGGTGGAGCGAGCTGCAGTGAGAGGCCATATGATACGATGACTAAGATTGTGGTCTCTCTGCAGCCAGACAGTCTGGGTTCAGGTTCTCTCCCCAACTTAACAGCTGTGCAAACATGGGCAACTACCTTAACCTTTCTGAATGTCAGTTTCTCGGCTGTTATGCAGATCATGAAATGGTACTTAATTCGAAGGGTTGTTGAGAGGGTTAAATGAGGTAGATAAGTAGACATTCACCGCAGTGCCTGGCACAGAGTAAGCACTCAGTAAGTATTAGCTCTTATTGTTTTGTTGCTGTTGTTACCTCTCCTTTGTTAGACTATGAATTTTGGGGGACAGGGACCACAGCTTATTTATTACATTGTATGTCTTCAGGCTCTGCATAGTTCCAAGCCCAGAATAACTAAACATTCAATAAATGTCGAATAAAATTAACAGCCAAACTTAATTAGCAAAGAAAGTCAGTTAAAAAAATTAATTCTAAAGTCAAATGTAATTGCTGTTAATCTTCAGCAGTGAGAAAATCAAAAGGTGGTATGCAGTTAATAATTATACACAAGAAAGTTATTAGGCTATGTTATAGTATCTGTCTGTTTAAAGTCAAGTAAGTGGTCAAGAAAACGTAAATAAATTAGTATTTTATTGTTTTGAATCAGATGTTTCTTTGGCTCATTCTGATTTTCATGTTAGAATTCTGTAGATTTTAATCAATAAAGATTTCTGAAAATTTTATCAACTACATAGTGGAGGAAGTCCAGATTTTTTGATAAGGAAAGATGTTAAAATCTAGTGAAAAGGATTTGAATTAACCTCCATTACGCTTATCGTTTTCCCTTTAGCTTCATGTCATTGTAAATAGTAAAATAAATAAATTTAGCAAAAAATAAAAAAAAAAGAAAAGCAGCTGTGTGGTAACAGTCATTTCATGTGTGTTCATATTTCATCAGTTTTTAGTGTTAAAATGAACCCTGAAACTGCATGGTAGAAGTCAAAACATGATGACGTTCTAGATTATTCTTGGCAATTTAGTTAAGGCATTTCCTCTCCCCCAGTCCCCAGATAACCATCTTCCACGGTGCTGCAGTAACAGTGGTAAAAATATACCACCGACAGCTCCCTAGAGTTCCCTAGCCTTTTGTGCTTGTCATGGCCATGATCCCATCTGGTCTTCACAACCATTTGTTAGAAAGATCATTAGCTGTGTTTTACAGACTCAGGTTAAACAAAATTGTGCAGTGTTAACCAGCTGCTAAATGGTGAGGCTGGAACCCAAATCCTTTCTTCTTTCAGATCCCATGTTCTCTCCATGGTATATGATTTTTCAATAATAAATATTGGAAACCGAAAACTTGTTTTTCCCAAAGGATCTTAAGAGGGATTTTTCTACTTTATTACCTCTTGTTTGTGTGTTTGTTCTCTGTTTCCCTTGCTGTAATCCATACATTTAAAAATAAATATATGGTTAAATGAACTTACAAACTTTGTGCTCGCCACCCTCAGGCCAGGTGGAAGAAGGTATAATCATGATAAATGCACCAAATTAAGTAAGTGTTTTGCAGTGACTAATAGATTTACAACCTTTCTGTAAATACTGATCAACATTTCTTTTAAAGAAATTAAATACACAAGTATTCATTCCATTGTTACTATAAAAATCTAAACATTATTGATACGGCTGAAGTTTGCCTTATCGGCACCCCTAGGCTACCTCTCTACATCCCAGGGAACCTGTAGTTATTTAGTAATGTTTGTATTGGACTTGGAAGGATATTTTAGAAGCCTTAAATATGTAACAACCATGAGTATATAGCTCTGGTCACCCAGTAATATGTCCATACTCCTTGTATTTTTCTGTACATGGTTTTTTTTTAATTGGTTTTACAGATTTAAACTTGTGTAGGAGACCTTTTTTAACTTCTAGAAAGCATAGATGTTATTCCCTATTTCGACTTCCTTTTAAAAAATTTAAATGACTTCTTTTAAATCAATTTTATTTATCATTACTAATACTTCCCCAAAGAGCTACACTTTGTTTTCAAGTCATTTTGTGTGTATAACAATATTATTTTATGAATTTTATAGTATTTGAATTTTAATAAATGTGCATTATGTAATACTTTATCAGGACTTTGAACTTTTAACTAATCTATTTTCTCTCTGCCTGTGTCATTATGTACTTAGGAGAAATCTGTGTACTTAATAGAAATCTAGATTAGTGAATAAATTTATAATAAACTTTTTTTCACTTTAGATTATATTTGTGAGTGAGAATAGTGGGAACCTTTTCATGCATTTTCTCAAACATTTCTACTAAATATTTTCTTGGCATCTTCAATTTAAAAGTAATATTCAAACTTCTAAAATACATTGAAAAGATATTTATGGGTATCTGCTGTGATCTAACATTGTTAATTCTAAAGTCAATCATTTGGTTAAGTAGAATTGTTTTTAAAATAAACGTGTCATACAGACATTGTTCATTTCATAAACAGCTATTTTGATCAAATGCAAGTGCTAGGAACTGTTAACAAAAGGTTTCAAAAAGTGAATGAGATTGACTGTACCCCAAATCCTCATACTCTAGTTCGAGTGAGCCACACCATGGAGCTCCAAGTGTGCGTTATGACTAACGTGTGCAGAGTATTGTGTGAATCCAGAAGAGGGAGCAGCTAATCTGGAGACGCAGTATACTGAGGACATGTAATTAACTGTCCAAAAAAGCCTTATTTCAAGGACTCTGTATAAAGTCTTCCCCCGGCTGCCAACCTTTTTCATTCTAATCCACTTTCCATTACACCAAATTTAAAAGTTTGCGAGACAAAAGAATAGCGGAGCATTTCAGGTACAGATGCTGGCCTGTGCAGCGAGCATGGTGGCATAAAAAGAATATAGGATAACTTAAATTGATAACCCAGTTTAGCTGTATTTTAGGTTGTGCTATAGGAGTATTCAGGGGATACATCTGAGCAATAGATTTTCGTCAAATTATATGGTAAACTTAGGATTTGGGCTTAGTATTATTTAAACATTGCAGAACTAAGGTGTTATTTAAACTGGAATAACATGATTTGTTTCTTAAGGGGAAATTCTGGTGAATATGGAATTGGAAGAAGAGAGGTTAGAGGCCAAGAGAAAGGTTGTGTAATAAATTCTTCAACTATGGAATGTTTTTAGATGGTTAATTGTTCACTTCTTTGGTATATAGATTTTTTTTACTGAATGCTGAATAATTTATTATTTAAAAATCTTCAATAAAGAAACTGAAAAACATTCAGTCATCAGCATTTTCAGTTGTTCCTATGTGTTGTTATTTTTTTTTTCTAAATGTGTTTCCTAGTCTCAAGGAAATTTCTGCTAAGTGTACTGAATCTAAACCTCTATTATGTTTGTATAATTTCATTCTTTTGTTGTATGATAGTTTGAATTAATCATAAATCACCTTAAAGTTCCATAAGCCCAAATTAATTATACTTACATTTGTGATATGCTACATTTGTGCTTCTTTATCATATTTTATCATTGTAAAATTGATACAGCGTGATCGAGATCTTGATCTGTTTAATGCCATCTACTTCAACATATAATATCATGGGAAAATTAACATTGTAATTTGAAACACTTTTCTTGTTTACTTATTTAACTCTTTAGAGTTTGCATTTCTATTTTATACTTCTTTTAATCTATGTTGTTATGTGGTGTTGACATTTCACTTGACTGATGATTTTTTTAACTATTAAATTTTGTATATACAATTAAAAAAATGAAGCCAACCTAATTAGACCACTTTTGTAACTATCTGACATATTTTTTCTGGTTTATATGTACTAATATAGTGAGCTTTTATATATATATACACACATATTTATATATATATACACACACACACACACATATATATATATATATATATATATGTTTTGTTTTTTTCAGAATACTATTGTGGAGGCTTCTATTCAGCTTCCTCCTTCCCTTTTCTCACCAAAGCAAAAAAGAGAACTCAGACCAACTGATGACTCTCTTTACAAGCTTCAACTCATTGCATTCCGCAATGGAAAGCTTTTTCCAGCCACTGGAAATTCAACAAATTTGGCTGATGACGGAAAACGACGCACTGTAGTTACCCCTGTGATTCTCACCAAAATAGGTTTGTATGCGGCATATGTTCTCCTGTAGTCAGTGGACAATAAGGCCTTACAGTTGACTGTTCCTAAAAATGCTTCTTTTAGTGTTTTCTCGTTTTAATGAGTCACTAGCGAAAAAAGATCTTGCGGAGTACCCATTACTGTTTAAGTTGACATTTATAATTGTTTATGAAGTTTGTTTCAGAAATACTTTTATTTTCCATTTTCTCCAGATGGTGTGAATGTAGATACCCACCACATCCCTGTTAATGTGACGCTGCGTCGAATTGCACATGGAGCAGATGCTGTTGCAGCCCGGTGGGATTTTGATTTGCTGAACGGACAAGGAGGCTGGAAGTCAGATGGGTGCCATATACTCTATTCAGATGAAAATATCACTACAATTCAGTGCTACTCCCTTAGTAACTATGCAGTTTTAATGGTATGGCAGTTGTTAACTTTATGCATAAACACAATTCTAAATTTTTCCTATGAATAATTAAGCTCAAATGAAGTGTTTTTTTTTTTTTTAATTTTTAACATAATTTGCTTCCTTTGATTATATGAGATGATACGTGTTCTAATTCTGATTTTAAAGGGAAATTAAGTTACTACCAAGTGAAATATATGGGATTGAATTTGGTATATAGGAATTTTAAATCAACTTTATAAGTCAATCAGTTCAGCTAATCTTTGACCTTAAAACTTGGAGAGACTGTTTATATGGTCAGATTCCCTCTGCCCAGAAGGAGTGATTTTGTTTGCTGAAGGATACACAGTGAGTAGTGAAAGAACATTTTCCTACTTTGCAATCTAGCACTGTTTCCCACTACATGTTGTAATTGTTAGACTCTATTTGAATTTAGAATTAATCATGATAATTTCATTTTTGTCATTGCAAGTGACAGTATCGACACAAAGAATGTCTTTTCAGTTTTAATGCCAATCAGTCTAGTGTTGTTTTCTGTTATTTGCCATTGTTAGCGCTAATTACAAGTTAAGTCTTATCTCTTATCTGAAATGCTTGGGACCAAAAATGTTTTGGATTTCGGATTTTTTCCGATTTTGGAATATTTGCATTAGACTTACCAGTTCACCATTCCTAAATCAAAAATCTGAAATCCTCCAAGGAGCATTTTCTTAAAAAGTTTTAGATTTTGGAACATTTTGGATTTAGGATTCTTGGGTTAGGGATACTCAACCTGTAATTTTTTGGGAGTAAAATAACAATTATTAATGTACAAGAGCAAGTGTTTTTATTAATGAGGTCTTTAAATGAATCTGACTCCTGAGCAGATAATTATGAAATAAACCATGCTAGTTCTTATTTTGTATTGTAATTATTATAAATACTGACATCATGGAGTATATTTAGAGTATAGTGGAAGGAATTACTAATGCATGTGAAAGACATTTCCCAGGAATGGTTTGAGGTTACTCTGGGTGTGAGGAACTTCTACGTTATTTCTGATTCCCAGCTATAAATCTGTTTTCCAGAAAATGTTTTATCAAAGTGCTAAATACCTTGAAACATGATATATTTTACATTTCATGAATTCTTCTTTCTTTAAAAAATAGCGTTTAGCACTAGAAATGATCTTGAAGTAAGTGTGAATTATAAATAATTTTCTTTCTTTTTTTTTTTTTTGAGATGGAGTCTCGCTGTGTCGCCCAGGCTGGAGTGCAGTGGCCGGATCTCAGCTCACTGCAAGCTCCCCCTCCCAGGTTCACACCATTCTCCTGCCTCAGCCTCCCCAGTAGCTGGGACTACAGGTGCCCGCCACCACGCCTGGCTAATTTTTTGTATTTTTAATTAGAGGCGGATTTTCACTGGGTTAGCCAGGATGGTCTCGATCTCCTGACCTCATGATCCGCCCGTCTCGGCCTCCCAAAGTGCTGGGATTACAGGCTTGAGCCACCGCGCCCGGCCTATAAATAATTTTCTTTGGCTCTTGTTTTTTGTTTTGTTTTTGTTTTTGTTTTTTCAATTCAACTTATATCTTACCTGGTACACTGGTCAAGCAAGCAGAAAGGTGAATAGGTTATTTATCAGGGTAAAGGGATTATCTTTACAGTGACATAATTGAGCATTTTATACAAGTGTAAGCAACATACTTAAGCATATATGTTATCTGGCCCAGCTGACAGTGGGTGAATTCTACGCTGGTTAGACTTGACTATATTTGTATAGGCCCTTTATTCAATTAGGATTAACTTTAGTGTTGACAGTTTATGATTCTAATTCTCTTTCTAAATGGAAGATGTCTTGATTTCTGTAAGCCTGAATCTGGTTTCTGTAAGTTCACATTTTATTATTGTGTAGTCACCTTTTATTTATTTTTTATGTTTTTGAGACAGAGTCTCACTCCGGTTGCCCAGGCTGGAGTACAGTGATGCAGTCTCGCCTCACTGAAGCCTCTACCTGCCAGGGTCAGGAGATTCTCTTACCTCAGCCTCTTGAATAGCTGGGATTATAGGCATGCACCACAGTACCTGGCTAGTTTTTGTATTTTTAGTAGAGACAGGGTGTCACCGTGTTGCCTGGGCTGCTCTTGATCTCCTGGACTCAAGTGATCCACCTGCCTCAAGCTCACAAAGTGCTGGGATTATAGGCATGAGCCACTGTCACCTCTGGAATTAATGCATGAAGTGTTAAAGTATGTGGTATTTTCTCTTCCATTTTGAAAGTATTTTCTCATTCAGATTTTGAGTATAAAATAAACTGTGATGTACTGAGGAGAAATAATATTCAGCATTGTCAGAAATTTATATAATAGTTAAGAAAAAATTGAGCAAAATAGATGAAACACAAAACATACACAAAAATGCATTTTATAAGCCTTCGCTATAATATTGCACCCTGTGAAACTTTTATTTTTATTTAATCTAATACCAGTTTAAAGCATCTATTTTTGAACTTCCTAGCTGTTCTTCTAAACTATTTAAATTAGTATAATCCTTTTTATGGAAGGAATAAGCTATTCTTTTATCTTTCAGACTTTTAATCTCTTAAAAAATGTAATACACAATTCTTTAAAGCTAAAATACGGTAGTACTCAGATTTTTTTTCTATTTATTTTCAAAGACTTCTTCCTTTTCTTAAATGTAACTGTGCCATCTAGGGGCAGCAAAGAAAAATGTATTTGAAATTGTTGACAAAATTAAAGTTACTGCATGGGAGTTAGTTGCTAATAAAACATAAAGAAAAAGTTAATGAAATTATACACACTTTTAAGTAGTTAAAGTTACGTTTAGGATTGAAGAAATAGCTTTTAGAAATCAGAAAGCAAATTAGAAAGCATTATCTTTTTTCCTTATATTAAGCTTTTAAAAATTGATAAAATCCTATTTTTCTTGAATACCATCTTAATATATCATTTTATATGGTAAGTCTAAATTCCTGTCTTGGGATATAGTCCATAAAACTTTCCTTTATCTGATTTTAAGAGTTTTGAATTTTGAAAAAATGAGACATGAATAATATACTTGTTCATAAGTCTGAGTTTACTAAGGTCTCACTGGGAACCAGAAAAAAAAATTAAGCAGAAATTAGGTTTGCTTGAATGATATGATCTGAAATAGCCAGGTGGGGCAGGAAGATTCACAGGAGCTGGTGTCTGTAGGAAAAACAAAGAAAACTGAATAGAAAGTGGGGTAATGATTAGGTTCAAACTATGTAGTACTTAATACTTTAATCACTAGTGATGAAGATAAGGTAATTTATATACATTGATTCCCTTTTTGTTATTGTGTTCAGCTAAAAATATGAAACTAGAGAGCATTCATTCATTTTTCTAGGATGCTTTTACATTTGTTTATATAAAACATGCTGAATACCATCTTAATATGTCATTTTATAGATTAGAATGGCATTCAAAGCAACTTTGACATCATTTATTCTGTAATTGAACAGAGATACTAGTGATGTTTTTGTTTAAATAGTTTTAAAAGAAGTACTATAATCACGTGGATGTAATGTTTTATTTATTTCTACACATTAACATACAGTGAAAGCTGGAAGTCCTCCCCATCTCTCACATCACATTGATAAGTAACTACTATTTGTTTCTCACATATTGTTAAGGAGACCCTCGTGTTTATGGAAACAAAAATGAATATATGTTCCTATTTTTGTTGCATTTTTGCACAAAGGTTGCATGCTACATACACTGTCCTAAACCATGCTTTTTTCTATAGAGCAACATATCTTAACTATGATGGTGATGATGTATCTTAAAGAAGAGGATGATGATGGTGGTAGTGGTGACCAATCTTTATTAAGTACTGATGTGTCAGCCAGTCTTCTGATGTCTTTATATACATTCAGTTACTCAGCTCTTATGACAGCCTCATGAGGTATAAGTACTGTCGTCACCCCCATTGTACAAATGTGGAAACTGAGGCACAGAGAGGTTAAATGCCATGCTCACAAAGCTAGTGTTGGTAATGGGATTTGAATTCACAGTCTCATTTTGGAATCTGTGTTAATAATCCCTCTGCTAAGTCTCCTTTCTGAAATCCTCTCAAATTAATATACGAGTTTCCTCATTCTCTCTTATTTCTGAATATTATGTTTCTACCATAATTTATTTAGATATTTCTCCATTGTGTTTGTTTCTAGTGGTTTGTACAGTGTCGTTTCACACATTTAGTTGAGCATCTGTGGGACAAATTCTCTGAAGTGGAATTGATAATCAAAGGGACCAACTGGGTTTCCTTTTTCATTAAATTGAGGTATTTAGCAAAGTGCACAAATATTGGTTATATTTTTACAAAAGAATGTATAAGAATAAGATTTGTACTAGAGTGCTGGACAGTGCTCCTGTGCTTTTCTCTAGAGTCAGTTCCTGCCACCATCTCCAGATATCACCCTTTTGATGTCTCTCACTGTAGATAAGTTTGGCCTGTTTTTAGACTTTACTTGTGTAGTATGTACGCTTGTGTCTGGTTTCTTTCTTATCATTACAGGGATGGGATTTATCTTCATTTTTGCATTTAGCAGCAGTTTATTCTTTCCCATTGCTGTGTAGTAGTCCATTGTATCAATATGCCAAAGTTTGTTCATTTTATCATTGATAGCCATTTCTGTTTCTAGGTTTTGGGTGTCAAGAAAAAGCTGCTGTGAGTACTCATGTATATGTTTTATGATGGACATGTACACTCAGGAGTGAAATTGCTGGGTTGTAGGCTTTCCATGTGTTTAGCTTTAAGTAGCTAAATCCATGCAGTTGACCAAAGTTGTTATATTGGTTTGTGGTCTCAATGGTAATGAGAGTTCCAGGTGCTCTACATTTTTGCCATGCTGGGAATTGTCAATCTTCAATTTTAGTCTTCTAGTATTGTGATATATCATTCTAGTTTTAATTTGCATTTCTCTGGGCACTATTGATGTTGAGCACTTCTTTAGCTTTATATTGGCAGTTTGGGTATCCCCTTTTCCTG